TTTCTATTTTTGTTTAGCAATTTATTTCTTTTATGTTAAAATATTGATTTAAAAAAATATGTTATGCTATAATTACAATAAATTGGTTTAATACCGCAAATACACGCACACAAGTTTAACAGTAAGATTATCTAATATTTTAGTTTCGTATAACTATTCAGTGTACTGGACGGCAAGGGGTATTTAGTATGTAATAAGAACTCTCTTTTGTAACTTATTATTAACTCTAATATTAATTAATTCAATTAAATGAAAGATGTTTATCACCGATAAAATCTAATGTTTATACACTAATTGCGATCTAGAGTTTGTGTCAACTCAATTTTCTTTATGAATATTTGCAAGTAGATAGCCGCACGTAATCGTTTGACTACAATTTTATGTTTGTTCATAAATGCATTCAAACGGGTAGTTGATATTGGTGTACTAATACACTACCGAAATAAAAATAATCCAACTTACGGCTTTAAGGCCTGCATTGACACGCCCAAAAAAGGACTTTAAACAGCAAAGATCAAAAGGAAAAATGTTACAATGTTGTCTTCGTCTAAGTACAGTAAAATTGCAATTTCAAGAGTTTACCCCAATGCCGGAATTCTTATTATTTTTCTCCTTTTTCTATTATAGTTGAAATTAAGAGTTCACACAAATCAACTTAAAATTACGTCGACAATTAGCCCAAATCTAAGTAATTAACACTAAACCTACCGACATTCATGTATTCCTACCATGAGCGGTCAACTGACCGCTTCAAAAAAACATATGTATCTTAGTAAAGTAGATAGTAAACAAAATATTTTTCTGATGCTACAATAAAAACCCGTTCCCCGCTTTTCAATGTTGTATGTTTTATTTACTTTTACAAATTTTGTTTGTTTTATTGACTTTACAATATCTTATTTGACAAGATCTCCGTTCAGTGGAAACAGTATTTGCATTTATTATTGTTTTTGATGAGCATTCTTTGTTTACCTGTTTCTCTTTCGGTCCCAAGTTACTCTGCCAATTGAAATAAAAACTCATGCCTCGATATTTCCTCACCCGTCCTTTCTTTATACAAAATCCAAGCATTTATCCCGGCTAAATCTAAGATATTGAAAAATTTTCTGGCCATTTGATCGGCTACATCTACACCCAATTTTGTACTATTGTAAAACCTAATTGTCTCTCGTATACGGGCGTCATTTTTTTCAATTTTAACGGATGAATGCATTGAACTTACTATCCTTTGCCTGTCTCGCTAATTTTGGTAGCTCTCTTTTATTTCTCCGGATAGTTCCAACAAGCGCAGTTCTTTTTGCTAGAAGTTTACTCGCTAGTGACGCGCTTGTAAAAAAATTGCCAACTGCTATATTTCTGCCATGGCCCGTATATGGTTCTGCTAAATTCAAAGTTACAAACTCTTCAAGTGGGATTGATGATTCTCTCCCTTCATCTTTTCCCAAATGTGGAAAGCCGTTTACTATATATTTATTACTTACATCGGAAGCTAACCAGAATTTTATGCCAAATTTGTCCCGTTTGTAAATCTACAACGTGCTTTTGCAGGAAACAATTGTTCATCTATAGCAAGATATGCTCCTGGTTTATAACCAGGCTTTGACTGTTTTCGATAAATTTATACCAAACTTGAGAAATCAATGCGAACTTATCGTTTCGTAAGCGTTTGCTTCGTTGATTTTTGTTGTCAAATCGAATAAATCTCATGATTCCTACGAAGTCATTTCGACTCATAGTTGTCGAGAAAAATGACGGACCCCATTTCGTGTTCCATAAATGTGATAAATTAATGTTTTTAGCCTCATATGCGCCGCGTGCATATAGAAGTCCAATAAATGCATATAATTTTGCAATAGATAAATTCCATTTCGTTTTCAACACTCGAAATGCCTCTGATTCCGTATATTCTCTTACGTGTAAGACACATTGATTAGATTGTAGGTTGTGTATAATTACATTGTAGACGCGTAAAACAATTTCGAGAATGCGATTATCGAAGAATATAGTCGTAAATAACATAAATGTTTCAAGCGGTCAAATGACCGTTCGTGGTAGACTAGACATGGTATAATTTGTTTTCGGAAAATAAACAATAAAAAAGTTGTAAATATTGAAAAATAGGTTGTATCTATATTTTAGGAAAAATCAATAAGCTAAATGATGATATGGTAACGTTGTATGCGAGAAATTTTAAACGAAATTTCAAAAACGGTCTTTCGACCGCGCATGGTAGTTTTAGTGCTAATGCAAGCTCGACACGTTCGCTCGGCCAGTGTAGTGTATTAAGTACTCCAATCAATTGTGTAGATTAACATAGAGATGTGCATAGAGATCGCCAGCCCACCAGGGCCCTACGCTATTTGTGGCAAGAATACATTAAGTTTTTTATGGTATACGCAAAACCCGAAAGAGCTTAAACTAGGTCCAAGTTTCTGTTCCCCTCCCCTCCATCATAATGTGACCCATAAACTTGTTGAGATAAGATTGGACTAGATAGTCTTGTGCATTTTGTACCCTTCGTATAAGAAAGATGATGTGACAAAAACGCTTAGTTTTGGATATTCGGTGACAAACGTTTATATTATATAATCTTTTAAGTCATTTTTATTCATTTAATTTATTGAACTATTTTTTAAACTTTTATAAAACCTTTGCTCAATTCAGACTAATTAATCCTAATGGAGTAATATGGAAGATTTATCGACAAATTTTAATTCGGTCACCGTTTGAAGGACTCTCTTAATTGCCAATATAATTTGCACCTAGTTCAGCCTATAAGGACTCAAGCTAAAGAATTAATAAGCAACAGCAAGCCTAGTGTTTCGATGAAAATCGTTCTGGATAAAAAGATAGTGAAAAAATACAACAAAAAGTTATAGGTAGTTGTACTCAGGATCCGCCGAGTGGCCGAATAGGCAAAGAGTCTCCACTAGCAACTCAAATTTCAAGTGCGGTAGAGTTTCTAATAAAGCCGATAGCCTTAGATGCTAATGCTTTACAACTTTAAACTTACAATTTATTCTCTGATTTAATTGCATTTTCTCAAGCTTTTAAGTGAGAATTAATTAACTAACTTTCCGTTCTTGTGACAGCCGTAAACCAGAATGCCTTTGGAAATATAGATTGCTCTGTGTTTCGTTGTAAAAATAAAAAGTTTACAATTAGACGAAGGGATACGTTCTTGTTCGATGAATACATCTGGGGGATGCATGCGTAAATTTTTACGTCGCACGTCATGAAGACTAGGTATTAACTGGTAAAGCTAGTCAAAGTTGATGTAGGAGTTTTGTTTGCTTTCGTTTGTTTAGTTCTCGAACTGACCACTTCTTATTGAATATTTTTAATGAATGACAAATGAATCAGTTCTTGTTGTCTTAATAAAAATGCATTTATTTAACATATAGATACCGAGTGCCATGTACGGAGTAATGGCAGAATACTTATGTAATATAACATCAGCGACTGCTAACTAAAACACTCCTGTACCAAGAGTACATCTTTTAAATTGTACAACAACAAAATAACAAATAAAACTCAAAATCAACATCAATTGACCATAGCATCAATGCAATGGAGAGTTTAATAGATAACAAGACGCGAGAACGACTGCGCATAAAGCTCTGGTCTTTCAAAAATATCTCAAACCGTCAATAATATAATTAAAGATAGCAAATGGTCATTAGGGTCAAATTTTGAAATAACCGAATCTTTATATAAGACCCAAAATTTGCCTAAAACTTTAGTAATAAATTCTTTGTTTTAAAAGAATGTGGTTCGCAATAACCGTAGGATTGGTGTTGCAGTTATTAGTGCTTCTATATGTTTACCTAACGTATCGTTATCGGTATTGGTTGCGTCATGGTGTCCTCGACGTCAAACCTAATCCTATACTCGGTAATTTAGGATGTTTACTGCGCATGCAATGTACTTCTGCTCATATGATACAAGCGATCTACAACTATCCCGAAGCTGGAGATCGTCCTTTCGTTGGTATTTATCTTTTTCATCGTCCGGCTTTACTGCTACGCGATCCCGAACTGATAAAACGCATTCTAAGTAGGGATTTTCCAAAATTTTCTAATCGGTTCTCAAACTCAGATTATTTTGGTGACCCTCTTGCCTCTCGGAATTTATTCTTTCTGAAAAATCCTTATTGGAAAGAAATACGTTTGAAGCTGACTCCTTTCTTTACAAGTGGAAAACTGAAACAAATGTGTTCGCTAATCGAAGAAGTGGGACTTAATCTCAATGAATATCTCTTGAAAATGCCTTTAAACGGCGATAAGATTTTCCAACTGGAGCTTAAGGAACTTTGCTCTTTATATACCACAGACGTTATTGCAACTGTAGCTTTCGGTATACAAGCGAATTCTTTTAAATATCCGAATGGAGAATTTCGTCATAACGGTCGTGAAATATTTCGTTTTAGCACTAGACGAGCTTTGAACTTAGGTGTTGTCTTCTTCTTGCCGTATTTGGTTCCGTATTTGCGCACAAAAGTCGTACCAACAAAACAAACGGAATTTTTGCGATCTACCATGAATCGCATATTGGAGGAGCGGGAGAAATCTGGAATGAAGCGTCACGATTTAATCGATATCTTGATAGAATTCAAAAATCAAACCAAAAACCAACCAAGGCAAGATGATTTAAAATTTGAAGGTGACCTGCTCGTGGCACAAGCGGCTATATTTTTTATAGCAGGATTTGAGTCAACATCGACTACAATGTCATTTACTTTATATGAATTGGCAAAAAACCCGGAAATGCAAGAAAGACTACGCAAAGAAGTTTGCGATGCTCTTAATGAAAGCCGCGGAAAGATCACGCAACAGATCATTGAGAGCTTGGAATATATGCAAATGATTATAGATGAAACATTGAGACTTTACC